TAAACAAATCGATGTCATAAACACAGCTGAAACAACATATAACATACATGTGATAAAAAATCCAGGTAAACAAATCGATGTCATCTACAGAACTAAAGCAACATATAAAATACAGGTGATAAAAAATCCAGGTAAACAAATCGATGTCATAAACACAGCTGAAACAACATATAAAATACAAGTGATAAAAAGTCCAGGTAAACAAGTCGATGTCATTACCATAGCTGGAACAACATATAAAATACAAGTGATAAAAAGTCCAGGTAAACAAATCGATGTCATTAACACAGCTGAAACAACATATAAAATACAAGTGATAAAAAGTCCAGGTAAACAAGTCGATGTCATAAACACAGCTGAAACAACATATAAAATACAAGTGATAAAAAGTCCAGGTAAACAAGTCGATGTCATTACCATAGCTGAAACAACATATAAAATACAAGTGATAAAAAGTCCAGGTAAGCAAATCGATGTCATAAACACAGCTGAAACAACATGTAAAATACAAGTGATAAAATGTCCAGGTAAACAAGTCGATGTCATCACCATAGCTGAAACAACATATAAAATAGAAGTGATAAAAAAGTCCAGGCTAACTGTTCGATTCTATCAATAGAACTGGAAAAATATGGAAAACGCAAGCAGACAAAAAGTCCACGTAAACAGTTGTATGTCGTCAACGTCACACAAAAGAAGCCATTGGTTGGTTAATATCACTGAGTTTAATAATTAGTTAGCTAATGAAACAGTTTGGGTGGGAGTATATCATATTTTCATCTTATAGTGAAATAAATACGTACTCATACACTTGGCGAAGCTTGGTCAAAATGTTAACAGGGATTTCATTGGCTAAGTCTTCGAACCTTCGCGCCCTCGTTAAGTTACAGATCTTTCGATAGTTGTTATACGGCTGTAGCCCGTGATCCCGCCCACGTTGCAAGTTGAGAGCTGCCAGGTCCATTCCCGAAAACGGGACCCGACTGTCCTCGAACAAATGATTGGTCACTTCTTCGGTGATGGTGTTGTCCAAAGTCTCCATGCTAGTGGCCACTAGGCCTCTCAATATCTGGTCCACCACGTTACCTGTGGTTTGACAAGAAAGGTTGACTGAACATCTAATAGTCAGTACGTAAAACAACTAACTGGCGTTATAAACACATTAATCAACAAATCTAAAGCATCAAGTATTCTATCTTTTATTCTTTGTGATAACATTGGTTTAACGTATTTAAAATTACTTGTATGGACTAGGTAAGTAAAGTAAGATTGTTAAAATGTCTAATACACAATACACTGTAGAAGCAGCCCGGCCAGATGTCATGACGTATAACCTACTAGATGTAAGTGTAGGAACAGCCTGGCCAGGTGTCATAACGTATAACCTACTAGATGTAAGTGTAGAAGCAGCCTGGCCAGATGTCATGACGTATAACCTACTAGATGTAAGTGTAGAAGCAGCCTGGCCAGATGTCATGATGTATAACCTACTAGATGTAAGTGTAGAAGCAGCCTGGCCAGATGTCATGACGTATAACCTACTAGATGTAAGTGTAGGAACAGCCTGGCCAGATGTCATGACGTATAACCTACTAGATGTAAGTGTAGGAACAGCCTGGCCAGATGTCATAACGTATAACCTACTATATGTAGGTGTAGGAACAGCTTGACCAGATGTCATAATGTATAACCTACTAGATATAAGTGTAGGAACAGCTTGACCAGATGTCATAACGTATAAACGTATAAGCTACTAGATGTAAGTGTAGGAACAGCCTGGCCAAATGTCATAATGTATAATCTACCAGATATAAGTGTAGAATCAGCTTGGCCAGATGTCATGATGTATAACCTACTAGATGCAAGTGTAGAAGCAGCCTGGCCAGATGTCATGATGTATAACCTACTAGATATAATTGTAGGAACAGCCTGGCCAGATGTCATGACGTATAACCTACTAGATTAAGTGTAGGAATAGCCTGACCAGATGTCATGACGTATAACTTACTAGATGTAAGTGTAGGAACAGTTTGACCTAATATCATAACGTATAATCTACTAGATATCAATGTAGAAGCAGCCTGGCTAGATACCATGACGTTTAACCTACTAAATATAAGTGTAGGAACAGCCTGGCCAGATATCATGATGTATAACCTACTAGATGTAAGTGTAGGAACAGCCTGGCCAGATGTCATGATGTATAACCTACTAGATATAAGTGTAGGAACAGCCTGGCCAGATGTCATGACGTATAACCTACTAGATGTAAGTGTAGGAACAGCCTGGCCAGATGTCATAACGTATAATCTACTAGATATAAGTGTAGAATCAGCCTGGCCAAATGTCATAACGTATAATCTACTAGATATAAGTGTAGAATCAGCTTGGCCAGATGTCATGATGTATAACCTACTAGATGTAAGTGTAAGAGCAGTTTGACCAGATATCATAACGTATAATCTACTAGATATCAATGTAGAAGCAGCCTGACTAGATACCATGACGTTTAACCTACTAAATATAAGTGTAGAAGCAGCCTGGCCAGATTCCATAACCTATAACTTAACATTAGGAACAGCTCGTCCAAATGTCCAGTGTCTAACTTACTGAGTACTCTTCTAATGGGAACCTAAATCTAGACATTTACTAAACATTTTTACTTTACAGACACATACTGTCATATTTGTGTGTCCTATACGTACTCTGAAGCAGCGCATCAGGATTAAAGAATCCACTTCTGAGTTGGAAGGGATTTTGTAGTTTCCTGTAATCTTTCTCCATTCGCTGAAACATTGGTTTGATAAGGCTATGGCCAAAGCGAAAAGCTGCAGTGGCGAACTCGTTAAAAATTCGAGGTTTGCAGTTCGGGTCGTAGCTCTTGTAATATCCCTCAGGTTCCAGCTTCAATCTAAACTTTGTAGCCGTCTCCCAGCCCAAGACACGTGGTAGAAACTCATTGTAAGTCACGTGCTGCATGACAGCTGAAAGAATCCGGCGTCCTAGAAGAAACAAAAACATTTTATAGCCACTTTCCATTCTGACATCAGGAACAAATCCCTCTAAAGACACTCACCATTCTGGTAGAGTTCCTCGCATTCTGACACCAGGAACAAATTCCTCTAAAGCCACTCACCATTCTGGTAGAGTTCCTCGCATTCTGACACCAGGAACAAATTCCTCTAAAGCCACTCACCATTCTGTTAGAGTTCCTCGCATTCTGACACTAGGAACAAATCTCTCTAAAGCCACTCACCATTCTGGTAGAGTTTCTCGCAT